TGTGCCCAGGCCATGGCTGTGGAGCAGGAGGCTCTGCACAGCCTTGTCTCTTGCCTTGGCTCCTGCTTCCCTCCTGCCCTGAAGCTGCAGTGCCCAGTCCTTGCCCAGCTCTGCTCCAGGGGGGTGAGAGATGGAGACCACCATGTTCATGGTGGCACCTTGGCATGTGCTGAGGGGCAAAAAGCTCAGGAGCCATCGTGGCTGCAGTCTGAACTGGATCAGGCTGTGACCTTGGAGCAGAGAGCTGTGGAGGTTGGAGGCAGGTGTTCAGGAGGCGGGTGCAGGTATCACAGGGATGTGCCATCCCAGTGGAACGGCTGTGTGCCACATCCATGGGACACACAGACATGTGTGATGTATTTTGGTCCAAGGTAGGAGCAAATGGTATGAAAGAACCAGCTGGGCTTTGGAGGGGCTGTTCTGTGCACAGCCAGGTCAGGGTGATCTTCATTCCCCGCCTGATCCAGGAGCAAGGGGAGCCAGACAGGGACACTCAGTGACTGGCACATGGAGCAGGGCTGTGGGTCTGTGTGAGCCTCTGCTTGTGCTGCCTCCCCTCCTCTGCCATCTACCCTCCATCCTTCTACCTATTCCTCAGTCCTCAGCAGTCATCCCCTTCTTCCCGAGTTTACTCGAGTGTCACTGCTCCCCCAGTCCGGAGCAAGGCTACCGGGGAACAGCTGTGAATCACCGAGCCTGGAGGAGCCCGTTCTCCCAAAGCCAGCAGAGAAGGAAGCTCTCCCGCAGTGATGCTCCCATTTGGAATCACCAGCATGTCTCCTATGAGTCTCTGTGCAATATTCTTCCTCAGGCTCTAGCAAGAAGGAGCCTTTGCTTCACTTCTTTGCTTCCACCAAAGAACTTGCTGCAGACTGTGTGATGGACACGTCTGTTCTTTGCAATTCTGGTTTTGCCTAAGTAAATATTGTTGCTGACAAAGATTGTTAAACTATTTACAGACTGAGTGTATTTAATATTTGTGTTACTGGAAGGACAGCACACGGAGATGCAGCCACTGGGAGGAGGTCCAGCCTGGCCATGGCTCCCGTGGCACTTCCCCAGGGATGCTGGAGCTGTCGGAGGTGGCTCTGCAGCCCCGGTGGGGTCCCCAGTCCATGGTGTTGTTGCATGCTGTATAAAGCACGTGGCAGTAGCTTTCAAGTCACTATTTAAAGCACCACTTTTCTACTGTACAAATGTCACAGGGCACTGCTAGGATAGACAATCACAGGTTGCCTTTTTTTAAAAAGAATTTCTTTTTCTAAGTGAGAGATTTTTAGAAGCCAGTCTGTGGAGAATATTCAGAGCACTTGACCCAGAGTAGTGTTAGCTGCTCCACTGCAGCCTTGTACAGGGCTCTCCAGGTAACTTTCTCCTCTCAGCAAATGTATTTCCTTATTTAAAGGGATGCTGTCAGCTTCAAACCTGTAAGCAAGCACATTTCCTTACCTATGTTACCAGCAACACTTTCATTATTAAAACCCTTGTCTTGCCACTCTGTCTACTTGCAGTTTGCTGTTTGATTTCACCACTGGGACAGCCACAGCCATCCCAGCTGCCACCATCTGGTGCCAGCTCCATGCCCTGGGACAGCTACAGTCCTTCAAGGGCAGAAGTATTTCTTTCACAGCTGTGGTTTCTCCTGGAAGATTCCTGAACACAGCAGCCGGAATCTCTTGTTTCTGCTGGCTCTTTCTTCTGTTGGCTCTGATTTTGCTTTGTTCTCCTGCAGACCCCACTTCTCTGGTCAGGGTCCCCTTCAAAGGCAGTGGTTGGCACCCTGCCCAAGCCCCTTGGCATTTCTGCCAGCACTGGGCTCGCAGCCAAACCTCCTGCTGCCCTCAGGCAGAGCAGGCTTCCCTCTCCAAGGACCTTGGCTCCTTCTCCCTAGGAGGACCTTGGCTCCTTCCCCCTGCTACCCCTGCGTCTATTCCAGGTCCATCGCATTTTCCTTTGATTAGAAAAGATTCCCCAGGTATTTGCCCACCTGTGTGCAGGGAGGGACTACCCAGGTGGGGCACAGGGAGGCTGAAGCTGGAATGGTCCTGAGATATGGCTCAAGTGAATATGAAAAGATGTAGATGAACAAATAACCTATGTTCCTATGAACATCTTTTAAGCTTTAACCCACATCCTGCAGCCAGCTGTGCTGTGATAAACTGCATGGGCTGAGCCAGGTCATGGTTACTCAGAGAATGAGACAAGACAGCCTAGGATTGTTCCAGGAATAGTGATGCACTGGACCACTCCCCTGCCCTGCTGAGGAGAGCCTGCCTGTGCTGCTGCACCTGCAGAGCAGCTGGGAGCCTGTGCTGCCAGTGCCCCCTTGTAAAAGGCAAAAAGCAGAGTGAGTGGTCCAGGGAGTCACAGCTCTGAAGTGCAGGAAAGATACCTGTCAGGTGCCAAAGTTTGGAGCAGCGCTTCTGGGGCAGCTGAGTCCAGACCAGGGACCTGCTGCAGGCAGAGGGAGGGATCAGAGGGTCTCCTGAGGTCTCCTTCCAATCTCCAAACAATCCCAGTAGCAAATCCTGCATGGAGAAGAGCTCAGCCCAGCTCTGCCCCAGCCAGTGGCCCTCCAGCCCCACCAGAGCAGCCTCCTGGGAAAGCACACTGGGATGGGACAAGCTCTTTCCTCGCATTGCCTTGGGTCAGTTCATACTCAGCCTTCCATGTGTAGGTGATTTTCCCACACAGGTTGTCCCAAGGAATTTAGGGTTCTGGGATTTTCCTTCCTCTCAATACCAAGCTGAATGATCCCAGTGATGTCCCACTCTCTCTGGGCCTTAAGTCCTGAAAAATAGAGGAAATACAAAGCAAAAAAAAAAAAAAAGTTCCAATTGTCAAATTAACATTTTTCATGCCTGTATGAGGTTTTTAAAATGTGAGCTCAGTGTTTCCATCCAATGTTTCCTCCACAACAGGCACTGACACATCCACAGCATCTCTCCACCAGCTCCCAGGTCAAGATAGACTGTGGTTAAAGCACAGTTTCTCTCCCCAGTGACATGGGGAAACAATACCTGTTTCTCAGCCCTTCTGCCCTGGTGGGGTGGGATGAGGTGGCAGCATAAGTAGGAACTTACATGTGCCCATCACAGAACCCTGCACATGGAGGGGACTAAAAGCCCCAGAGCCCGGTGCCACAACTGGAGTGCATTCCACCACTCCCTCACCCTGTGACATTCACAGTAGCACCCCCAGGACCCCTTGCTGCACCCCACCCCACCCCACCCTTGTGCCACCTCCACACCACCAGCACCCCCAGCCCAGTCCTCAGGGCCCCTCAGGTTCCTCTTGTGCAGCCCTGGCACCTCATCACCCACCCAGAGCCACCACTGCCAGCGGGTGCAGCCCCTCACACCTGCTCAGCATCCCCCTCCCCAAGCACACTGCCACCCTCCACCCATCCAGATCCCTCTGCTCATCCCTGGCCACCTCCCCCAGAGCTTCTGCCCACCCCAGACTCACTGGGGAGGGGAACTGGGGACACACCAGGGCCATTCCTCACCCATGCATGGACCTCTACGCCCCCGACCTGCTGTCACCCGCCTGTCTGCAGCACCTGAGGCCACCTGAGGCTGTGCAGGATGGGCAGAGGGTCTTGGGGGCTTCAGCAAAGGCAAGTTCTGGTTTTAAAGCCCAGACACTTGTTCACTCTGGAGCACTGGCAGGGACCCAGCTCTATGGCCAGGGGTTTTTAGACCCTAAGAACTACCTGCACACCTTGGCTGTGTGTCCTTCACAGAGTTTTGGTTTTTTATATCACAGCACTCCCACCCTCAAATTTCTACCAATTCGTTGCATGCAAGTTAGGAACTAAGTTCCTTGTATTCCTACCAATTCCTTACACTTAACACTTTGTTGCAGATGAAAGGAAACATGTTTTTATACAAATCCATGAATTTATTGGTAGTTTCATTAACATATTAAGCACAGAACTAAAGAATTAGGTTTACTTAGTTCAAATGACCGTTAGAAGTTAACATACACCGGAAGTGTTACATACAGTAAAAATCAGTGCTCACAGACATACTTGTGCTCCCCTTTTTCTGGAGGCCCTGCTCACCTTCCACTGCCTCTCTGGGGCTTTCAGAGTGGAGGAGGGTGTGGGGTGTTGTAGCACA